AATACAAAAGCATCATGCCAGTTCTGCGCCTTTTTGTTTTATTCTTTCTAGTTATCTCGCTTCTGTATAAAATGTATATCAATTAATTTTATTGTAATACATTTGCTTAACTCTTTTGTTTTTACGACATACTATGTATGTAAGTACTCATTACTCCACTCATCCATGCAAATAAATTTCTACAGCAACTTGCTCTGGCTCTTCATTTCTGCGTCAATAACCTGATTTGTGCATTTCATTGTATCACATGCAGTTGCAGCACGTCTTATCTGCGTGGCGTTGTATACGCCCTTCCGTTTGTTGTCTTTTTTTCGCTATGAAATGAAATAATTCCTTTTTTTTTGTATTATTTATGTTTAATCTCAGTTCTTTTATATATGACTTTATTAACTTTATTTTATTCCATTTATTAAGGTCTGTTTTCTCAAGTAACCTGTAACTTTAAAGCTCACTTTATATTTAAAAGTTGCATTAAAATTTAAGATTGTGTTTATGTTTAAAGTAAAGCATTTTATTATCGGTTTTAAATATAAGGTGAGCTTTAAACTTATCTGTCGTTAAAACACATTTTCTTCAGAACAAAATTTGTGTTTAAAGATAGAAATACGGCCCTTCATTTAATTCGTTTACATTTTATTTTTACACGATAACATTACATAACAACATAGCATAACATACCATTACATAACAACATGGCATAGCAAATAACGTAACAAAATAATACAGCATAATATATCATAACATATAGTATAACATAACATGGCATACCATAACGTAGCAGAACATAACATAACGTAAGTTTGTTAAAAATTTGAAATACCCTCTAATTAAATTTTTACAGCCTGAGGTGAACTTTTGAAATCATTGTTAAATTATAATCAAATGTCGTACATATTACGACGTGTATTTTTGGTTAGTAAACTTTCAACTACACTATTAAAAAAGAAATTCTTGCACCGGTTTTAGTTTTTATACCCGAGCGCACTTGTGCACAAGGGTATTATAACTTTGTTCACATAACGGTTGTTTGTAACAGGCAAAACGAATCGAGATAGATATAGACAAATGTATACATAAATGATCAGAATGAAAAGAGAAATCGATTAAGCGGTGACTGTCTGTCCGTCCGTCCGTCCGTCCGTCTGTGCACACGATAACTCGAGTAAAAATTAAGATATCTTAACGAAACTTGGTACGTGTACTTCTTTCGGGCGTAGGACGGATGGTATTGAAAATGGGCAAAATCGGACAATAACCACGCCTACCTCCCATATAACGGTAATTTTTAAAAATACGAAAACTGCGATATTTTAGTAACTAGTGAAGATTATTCACTCAAAATTGATATTTGCAATAATTTTTAGACGAAAAATAAGAATATTATACATTTTTTGAAAATGGGCATAGCCACGCCCACTTATGGATACATGTGCATATCTTGGTAACCGCTGCACCAATTTTTTCCAAACTTGGTAAAGTTGTTAGCCTTGCTACAGCATACCAAATGGAACCAAATCGAACAATAACCACGCCTACCTCCCATATAACGCTATTTTGGAGAAATACGAAATCTTCGATAAATCAATAAATATTAAAGATAATTTA